AAATGAAGAATTCATAGGAACATTGTGTTGAAATATTTTCCTGACTTCGCCGGAGAGATTTCGAGTTCAATTCGTCGCCGATGAACACAAGATAAATGAAGAATTCATAAGAAGATTATGTTGCAATATTCTCCTGAATTCAAAGCTAGGATTTCGAGTTCATTTCATGATCGATGAACACAAGACAAATGAAGAATTGATAGGAACATTTTTTTCAAGTATTTTTGCTCACCTCGCAGCAAAGGTTTCGAGTTCAGTTCATCACAGATGAACAGAGGATAAATGAACAATTGATAAGATGATTATATTCCAATATGTTTCTGAATTAGAAGCTAAGATTTCGTGTTCGTTGTATAATCGATGAACACAACACAAATGAAGAATTGATACCAACGTTTTATTCATATATTTTCCTCGCTTGGTAGGAAAGATTTGGAGCGCATTTCATCATGGATGAAGACAGAACAAATGAAGAATTCATAGCACGTTTATATTCAAATATGTCTGTCAATTCCAAGCGAAGTTTTGCGTGTTCGTTTCATCAGCGATGAACAGAAGATAAATGAAGTGTTCATAACAAGATTGTATTGGAATATTCTCCTCAATTCTAAGGTAAGATTTGGAGTGCATTTCATTATCGATGAACACAAGACGAATGAAGAATTCATAGTAATATTTGATTCAAATTTTGTCATCACTTCGCAGCAAAGATTTCGAGTTGAGTTGTTCAGCATTGAAGAGAAGACAATTGAAGAATTCATAATAAGATTATATTCCAATATTCTCCTGTATTGGAAGCTAGGATTTCGAGTTCATTTTATCATCGGTGAACACAAGACTATTGAATAATGCATACGAACATTTTTTTCAAATATTTTCCTCACTTCGCAGGAAAGGTTTCGAGTTCGTTTCATCGCTGTTGAACTGAAGACAAATGAAGATTTCATACCAAGATTGTACTCTAATATTGTTCTGAGCTCTAAGCTAAGATTTCGAGTTCATTTCATGATCGATGAATACAACACAAATGAAGAATTCATAGGAACATTTGATAGAATTATTTTGCTCACGTCGCAGCAAAGAGTTGAGTTCATTGCATGAGCGATGAACAGAAGGTAAATGAAGGATTCATACAAAGATTATATTGTAATATTGGCCTCTATTCTAAGCTAAGATTTCGAGTTGATTTCGTTATCGATGAACACAAGACAAATGAAGAATTCATAGTAGCATTGTATTCAAATATTTTCGTCTGTTCGCAGCAAAGATTTCGACTTGAGTTCATCAGCGATGAACAGAAGGTAAATGAAGGATTCATACAAAGATTATAGTGTAATATTGGCCTCTATTCTAAGCTAAGATTTCGAGTTGATTTCGTTATCGATGAACACAAGACAAATGAAGAAGTCATAGTAGTATTGTATTCAAATATTTTCGTCAGTTCGCTGGAAAGATTTCGATTTGAGTTCATCAGCGATGAACAGAAGGTAAATGAAGGATGCATACAAAGATTATAGTGTAATATTGGCCTCTGTTCTAAGCTAAGATTTCGAGTTCAGTTCATCACCGATGAAGAGATGACAAATGAAGAATTCTTAGAAAGATTATTTTCCAATGTTCTACTGAATTCCAAGCTAATATTTCGAGTTGGTTTCATGGTTGATGAACACAAGAGAAATGAAGAATTCATAGTAACATGTTATTGAAATATTTTCCTGTCTTCGCTGCGAGGATTTCGAGATCACGTCATGAGCGATGAACAGAAGACAAATGAAGAATTCATATCAACATTTTATTCTAATATTCCTCTCAGTAAAAAGGCAACGTGTCGAGGTACTGTTACAGTTGAATTTGATATTGCCCATGTAGATTTCTTAGCTTGATATTCGAATACTGCGGTTTTTTATATATGGTTTATAGGTTACAGTGTCAAATGAAAGCTGCGTAGTAGTGGAATAATCCTACGTTTCTTTAGTGTCTGGCTCAGAAGATTACTGCTTTGCTCAGCTTGAATCGGCACCGCCTGTACCATGCCACTTATTGCTACCAATGCCAAGAGAATATTTAAACAAGCCATTACGACGATTGTTTGCATGGTTGTTTTTTGCTTTTCGATGTTTATGATTTAGTAAATAGAAATGTATGAGATATAAATGATATGCTCCTTCGTTTATGCATCGATTTTTTATGTCTAATCGACACTCAGTGTAAATTGCATATTTATCGATGGGAGTTTCCCACTCATCGATGGGAATATTTCTTTATTTAGTGATGAAAGAGAGATAGAGAAAAAGCAGATATATTTTTTTCTCGTGCGCATATCTATACTGCGTCATAATTCTACTCAAAAATTGTCTATATGCATCAAAAATAATCTGTCCTCCTTCACCTGAAAACCTTGAACTGTACAGGTAGTGAAAAAATTATTGGAACACCTACAACTTTTTTCATTCAAATAGTTTTTTGAATCAAGGAAAAGGCTTTATTTCAACTTTATTTATACTATTCGATAGCTCAATGTTTGTTCTATTACCTACAAAAAAATTCAAAAACTTCTACGTAAGTTTCATAGATTTATGATTCGTTTTCAGAAAAATACCTGCTTTTTTAATAGGAAACATGGCTGCTTATTTCTAGTGACAAATGCAGCTTCTTTCTTCAAATTGCACCTTTATTTTGCATCAAAACATTTTGAGAAATATTTCATTCGATAGTACAAGAAATTTTCTACAAGATGGTATAGTTTAAAATAAAATAAAAAATAAAAAAACAAGCTGTAAAAACTTCAAAATATCAATAGCCACGATTTCTATGATCAATAGCAACACTTTCTATGCCATTTGCAAAACATTTGCTACTAGATTGCAGCGCTATGAATTATAGAATAGTGTTATTGGTTGAAAAGAATGAATCAATATCATTGTTTCTGTTGTTTCTTTTGTTGATATCAATTGATCACACGACTAGTTCTATATTATGCACGGATGTAAAGGTAAAATACGGAGAAAGACAATAAAAACATTTAAGTCCTGTTAATCTAAGAAGAGTTTGTAGCTATATATGTTTTTTTTATATTTTAGATAATTTTGACGAATAATAACTCAGCAAATTTTCTTTATCAACGTTATATTAAATCTTATGTTGCGGTTTTCAAGGGTGCCAAAGAAGTAAGATATATTTTATTTATCAAATATAATATACTATATTATTTTTTTCTATTAGACAGCATATTTAAAAGGAAATCAACAATGGAAAAATCTAAAAGCTGCTGGTGATAATGAGAATATAGAAAAAGAAATTCATCGTTTGACACTGGAACAGAAATTAAAGCAACCAAAAACTTTATTTACAGTATGGGGACGACAATCTACAACAAATACAAATCCTATTCATAATTCAAAATCAATTATGTATTCAGTTGTAACTGGAACTGATACAACAACAAAAACTGATAACACAAATACATCATCAGCATCTGATTCTTCTTTATCAAAGAAGCTCTCCAATCGTACTACGGTAAATTATTTCTCATAAAATTATTAAGTAAAAGATCTTTTATTCTAGACATGTCATGCTCAAGTTCGAATACGAAAAGAATTAGAAGATAAACGTGAAGAATAAAATAATATTCGTGCATTAAAATCAAGCAAGTTATTATCGGAAGAAGGCGAAAAAAAAGTTGAAGTTATTGGAGAAGCAACGATCTTGTTACGAGAAGAAATTAAAACGACTTGAACAATCACGATTATCTCTAGCCACATACAGAAAAAATAAAAAATTGAAACTGAAAAGACTGATTGAGAAGCATCCAGATGCTGTTGCTGCATATAATCTTGCTGTATATGACCAAATTGGACAACCATCTATTGAAGATCGTGGTCAAAAAAGTTTACTTGGTCCGTAAGATTAAAAACAATACATGTTTTATATTATATCAGACTGTTTTATCGATATTTTCTAGAAGTGATCATTGAAATTGCTAGTCGTGGTGCAGCAGCAGATCCTTGTCGAAGTTCAGATTTAATATCTCCTTGCATGACACTTGATGAATTAATTGAACGTTTAAAAGAACGTGATTTTGTACTTAGTTGTTCAGCAACATATTTACGGTGAGTTCGGAGTTCAAATTATATAAATTTGATTATATGTCATTTAGATTAATACCGAGATGATTAAATTCAATAGAAGGAAAACGTCATGTTCAAACTGTTCCTGTTCAATTAATGAAAGCAAATAATGATCAACATAAGAAACATATCGATCAATACTTTGCAACAAACACGATTAATCATTTAAAAACTTTGGCTGGTTCATTTTGTAATGATGCTGTATTTTTTCTTAGTCAAGATAATAAAGCAAGAGTACCAATTAGACTTCCTGCTGCATGAAAACAAGCTCCACTACTGATACATCTTGATTATAAAGTTACATTACCAGATCATAATTTTGTTCTTGCACCAGGTCACAAATTAATTCCTTCTGATATAGATTCAAATTTTACGTTAAAAAGAATAATATTCAATTTACTTTTAGTTTATGCTTCGTGTGTAATCAACGAAAAGAAAGAAGTATCATATTCAGGTCCAACATATGTCACAATTAGATCTGGTAAACACGACTCAAGTACTGCTGAAACAAATCATCACAATTTCTCATTATTATTTGATTCAAAAGAATTTGAACCAGTGATGAAAATCAATGGTCAATGTAAACCAATTGTTATTATATGTGTTGATGGTAAGAATATTGTATCTTATGACTTCTCATATTGATTTCATCTTTTTATTTAAAGGTGGACCAGATGAAAATCCTCGTTATGCAAAGACATTAGTTGGTGGTGTTAATTTATTCAAGAAATATCAACTTGATTGTTTATTTGTGGTTTCCAATTGTCCTGGTCGATCAGCTTTTAATATGGTTGAACGTCGAATGGCACCATTGTCTAATCAATTAGCTGGTAAATATACGAATGTCTTCATATTTTGTGATTTTGTATTATTTTTAGAGGACTAATTCTTCCTCATGATTACTTTGGTACTCATCTCGATGATAATTGAAATACAGTGGACGAGCAACTGGAAATAAGAAATTTTAAAAGAGCTGGTAAGCTTGACAAAGATAAAGTATTTATCATATCATAACTTATTATTAAACTTTAAATTCTAGGTGAATGTTTAGTTGAAGTTTGGAATGAACTTACAATTGATTATTATTCAGTTGCTTGTCGATATATTGAACCTGTCGATAAGAAAGATTCATCATCTTTACTAAATCCAAATACACTTGATGTTAACTGGTTGCAAATTCATGTTCGACAATCACAATATTTGTTGCAAATCATCAAATGTAATGTTTTAAGGTGTTGCACCAAATGGCAAACAAGTTATTCGAAAGTTATTGCTCAGTGATTTTTACCTCCTCCTTTTCCTTTCAAAGTTTCTTCAAATGGTATAAATTTGACACATGTTGTAATCTATGACATTTTTATAAATCTAACTTTATGTTCTAGGAATTTCTGTTGCTGATTTAAGTGACAAAGATGGTCATTTCATCGATTTATATCAACGATTACAACTGGATAATATCCTTTCAACTGTCAACGTGCCATATGATTACAATTGTCCATCAGTTTAAAGTGAACTTCAAAAATGAACATGTCCAGTGTGTTGTCTATATCATCCATAAGCAGCAGCTATGAAACGACACAAACGACTTCATTCTTCCAAATATCTCAAACAACAAAAGGCCATTATTGTGAAAAAAGAAAAACAAGTTCAAGTAATTGATGGTGATGATAGTGAAAGTGGTGAAGAAAGTGAAGATGACAACATTCTTCAAAATAAAACCAATATTATACCTGGTACACCATTAATTGAAAATATTTTTGATTTCTTAGCGTCAGATTTTACGGAACTTTGATCTCATTTAGTATTATTTTTGTAATTTATATTTATTTATCTATTCATTTATTTATTTATTGTTTTTGTTTGGATTAATTATGAACTAGTATGTGAAAATAAATATATGCACGAAACAATTAATTTAGCTTTTAACTTTGCAAAATACTTATGTAATAAGAAAAAATATTCTAAAGATTACGTTATCAAGGGATTGATATTTTGAAGTTTGTACAACTTGTTTTTTTATTTTTTATTTTATTTTAAACTATACCATCTTGTAGAAAATTCCTAGATGCATTTAGACATTTTTTTTCGTATCCATTTCTCCTATTCATATACGCATTAGTTGGTTTGATTAAGACGCGTGATGTGTTTTTCAACGTCGCATAAGTCATCAAGTACACTTTAGTGCAATTTTTGAGTAGAATAGAAGATAGAAAGATACAAAAATAGCTCGTGCAATTATCTCTCAATAACGATAATAATAACCATATTGATCATGAGAATGTAGTGATGTAAGAGCTATTTATTGATCAAAGACGTAAATCAATGCTGATCAATACAGTTCATATGCGTACGTAATTCGTGCGTAACATGAACGAATGAGCGATGAGAGAAACATACTTGTTGTTTTTTTCTCTCTTTCTCTCTCTCTGTTGATTTCATATGATTATTGACGTCCACAGACAAATCCATGGCAAAAGTTTTTGTTTTTAATGCAGAAAGACAATGATCATCGTTCAACGAGCTATTTTCCAAAGAATAAGCTAATTTTAATTTGATTGAATAAATATGAAAAAATCACCGTCAATTTAACCTTTATTTGTTTTTAAGTAGATTGAAAAAAGAAAATACATATTAAAACTATCTTGAATAATAAAGTCAGTTAGCGACGTCTAGTAGAATATTCTCGTAGCATCAAATAATATTGTTGAAAAATCTTCAAGTTTTTGTTATTAATTTATCATATAATTTTATTTTTTTTAGTGAAAAATATTATTATATGAGTGAGTGCATCAACTGCATTTTTTTTTGATTTGTGTTCATTATAACATAAATATCTATTTGTCAGTTTCCTTCAACAAGAGAGAGGTCACTATCAACTATTGATTTATTTATGTATTTAAAATTCTATGATGTTTTTCCTATTTGAAAAACATAATTTTCAATTTTTAAACTTTATTGAATATTTATTCTTTATTTTTTAATTTTTCATCTATAATCGAAAATTATGATTTCAAAGTATTTTACTTCAAACAATCAAATATTTGTTTATTTACCATCAATTTTTCATTATTTTACTATTCTTTCGAACGTCTTCTAACTTTGAATTTTTTGTTTAATTTTAGAAAAACTAAAGTTATACCTTACGATCGTTTTATACAAGTAGTTCGTGTTGCCTATATTGCCTATGGTCCTGATAAAGGCAAAATATGTTGCATAACGAATATTATCGATTAGACACGTGTAGTTGTCGATGATCCATCATCACATGTTGCTCGACAAGCATTAAATATGAAATCATTACATTTAACAAAATATGTTCTTAAAATTTTACCTGGTGAACGTTCAAAAACTGTTAAAACACTTTGGAATAAACATGATATTAATAAAAAAAATGGTAAAAATCACGTTGGTTTAAAAAAATTACAAGCAAAACATTTACGTTCAAAATTGACAGATTTTGATCGATTTTAATTATTACATGCCAAACAAGCATATAATTGTATATTTGCACATGAATATAATCGTTTGAAAAAGAAAAATAAGGTACAGTTAGCTGAAAAAACAAAGAAACGTCATCCAAGAAAATTTGTTGCTAAATCACAACGTATTGCCAATAAATTTAAAATATTTGCTACATCAGCAACAACTAGCAAAAAGAAATAAGACAAGAATAATTTAACATAAGCATTATTGTTTGTTTGTTTTTTTTTTTTGCTTATATATTTTCAAAAGCAGAACAACTTAAAACGAAAAGAAAAATAAGAAGAAGAATAAGAAAAGAAAAAACCAAACAAATATAACTCTTAATAACTATTTGATTGATTCTAGATAGTAGTATTGGTTTTTTTTTTGTAATCATGATTGAAGAATCTTGGGATGATGATGAAACACCTAAACCATCATTTCAACAGGTTTGTTTTCAAAAGAAAACAAGATAAATAGTGATGAAATTTTTATTTGTTTTTACATAGCAACCAACAGTAGAAAAATTAGGTATTGGACGTGGTAAATTACCATTTCCAGCAAATAATATTGGTAAAAATTATTTTTTCTAAATATGATATAACGTATGTATAAAAAGTCTTTGATCAATATGTCTGGTCAATTTTCATTTATTTATAAGTCACCGAAGGGAATTGAAAGTAATCAGAGTTTCATGTGCTGCGTAATTATATATTCGAAATTTTTTCTTAGCATAAAATTAGTTCATTGAGAGTAGAGTGGAGCTTGTCGGGCCCTACGAGTTACCCGATAATGGAAAATTCATGGATTTGATTCTTTCGTAAGGGAATTACCATTGGGAGAAAATCCGAACATCTTTGATCAAATATTATAAGAGAATTCTGAGTATCAATAACTGTCTGCTTTTCAATGACATCTAACGAGGGAAGGTCCTCAACTAATCCACGCCGTTTTCAATGATATTTTGTCCATATGTCGGGAATAGTATTCTAAGAAAAATCCTAAGAGAGTTTGTGTCCATGGGCCTTCCTTCGAAGGTTATAACCATTTTACTGATTTTTCCACCTAGTACAAGGTATATAGGGAAAACTTGAACAACGGAATTTCCATCTAAAATTATGCTCATATGTAGTTCTTATGGTCATTAGAACACTCTAAAAGTTTCAGCGGAAAAAAATATTTCCTTCTGGAGATATTGATTCTTAAAAACTTGTCTCATGATCTATAAGGTCCTGAAAGATTGACTTTTTTAAAATTGAATATCTCCAGAAGGAAACATTTTTTTCTGCTGAAACTTTTAGAGTGTTCTAACGACTACAAGAGCTACATATGAGCAAAATTTCAGATTGAAATTTCGTTGTTCAATTTTTTTCCTGTATACTTTGTACTAGATGAAAAAATCAGTAAAATGGTCATAACTTTCGAAGGAAGGCCCATGGGCATAAACCCTCTTAGGATTATTCTTACAATACTGTTCCCGACATATGGACAAAATATCATTGAAAACGGTGTGGATCAGTTAGGGACCTTCCCTCGTAAGTATTAAAAAATGAGCAAATATATTTATTAATACCTTTGAATTTAGTATTTTGTAAAAACGTTGCTTTCGGCCAACATAGAATATTTGTTCTCAATGAACTGAATTTCAGCCAGACAAAATGATCTAAACATATAGCTAACAAGAACATGAAATCCTGATTCTAGCTGATCCTTTTTGAATTTCTCCGTTGACTAGAAATATTGTACAAATATATATATGATACGTAGGTTATGTAAATAAAAAAAAACTTATATCAAATAATCAATCAAGAATTTCATGAGTATTTTATTTAGAATCAGCACCAGTTTCTAAATGGAATAGTGATGCTGGTGGTTCAAGTACTTCAGTAGTTTTAATAATTTTCGCAATAATAACAATGAAAATGTTAAACAGAATACTGATGGAAACTTCGGTTCTCGAAATACTGGCAATCATTTTGGAGGTAAATTCTATGGAATTTTTTTTTCTTTTTTAATTTAAAATAGCTATCTAATCGTCTGATAATACTGGAAATACATTTCGTAATATGAGAAATCAAAATAATAATGATACAAAGCCAACATTTACTGGATGGCGAGGTAGTGCAGCAGCAAATAATAATAATGATTCTGATGATACTGTTAAACGTACAACATTTGGTAATTCAAATACACGTGGTAGTTTTACAAATAGTGCTGGTGGATTTCGAGGTAATCGAATGTTTTATTGATATAATGAAAAAAATTAAGTTTTTTTTTGTATAGGTGGTCGAGGAGGATCTAGTGCAGGTGGTGGCGATCGAGGAGGATCTGGCGCAGGTGATCGAGGTAAATGACTTTTGTTTCTCCTTCAAGATATATTAAATTTAGTTTTTTTTTAGAAAATCGGAATAGTGGAAGTAAGTTTCATTATCTTTTTTGTTCAAATGATATTTGATATTGGGTGTCGGATTTGTTTTTTAGATTGTTACAATTGGTAGATTTATTTCTGTAACTTTATTTTGTTTTTTTTCTATTGATATTTTCATAGTAATCAATCAGGTCATCGATCTCGTGATTATCCTGAACCAAAAAAAACCTCGTGGTATGTCTGTAAATAAGTGTTAGTTTTTTTCTATGACTAAATTGTTGAAGGCGGTGGTGTTAATCCTTTTTTTGGTAGTGGACGAAAACCTGAAAAAGTAGATATTTTGTTTGTTTTACCTAACAAATTTTTTTATGTCTAATTTTAGGTATCTGCTGATATTTTCGATCAACGTAAGTATTTGAAAAGTAGATTATAATGATTTAGAGTACATCAAAAGTAGTGGTAGAGGTATTTGATCATTCTTCAACTTTGTTCTTCTCTTCTCTAATGTCCTAAGTCTTTATTTCATTAAACGTTCGAAATAGTCGTCTAGGTTATTCACATTCAATTGTATTCGTTGAAACTTATTTATCCAATGTTTCTTTATTCAAAGAATTCATAAACTTGTTTATATTCTAATGCAACAATTTGTCTCCGATACTATAGTGGCACGCATAACTTTAGAGTAATTGTTTAGTTATAAGTTTTCTTGTCGATGGTAATAGCTAGCAAAAATTATTTGTGTAGCTGAAATGATTCTCTATTAGGATTAGTAGATCCGAAAACTCCAATAAAATTAGCTTTTGAGAAAAAATTTTACTTGATAGAGCAAGATGACACACCTCCGATTTTCCTTTGTTGAACTGCATTCTATTTACAGAAGGTTCAAGAAACATTTTCTTCTTTTTATTGAAAATTTCAATGTTTTTGCCAAGGGACTTCTGTAAATTGAATGCAATTCAATGAAAGAAGGTCAGAAACGTCACATATTACTCTATCTGATAAAATCTTTTTCCAAAAGCTTTGAATGGAAGTCAGAAAGCTGGTTGTACAGGTCTTAATTTTTCGTAGATTCTGATCGAAGCAGTTTTGCTAAAGTCTTCGGACTTACCAATCCTAATAGAGAATCTTTCCAGCTACACAAATAATTTTTCAGATTCTTGCTAACTATTACTATCAAGAAAAAAACTTATAAAATACAACTGCCGTAAACGTTTGTCCGCTACTACTAGTGGCGCACCCAGGATTTTGGACTGATATGGACCTTTGAGCTCCCTCCCTCAAGCGAATAAAACACATCTGTCAAAAATCTAGCTGAAGGAGCTCAACCAACGCCCGGAACCGCCACTAGTAGGCTACTATACTTTTAGACAATTCTAAATAATTATTATTTTATCTTACCTAGTGGTCGTGCTGATGCACAACCAGTGAAACGATATGTTCCACCACCTCTACCAACAAGTGAAGCTGATATATTTGGTAAAGCAGTTAGTAAAGGTGAAAATTTTGGTAAATATCATCGAATACAAGTACGTTGTTTACCTGAAGATAAAGAAATAAACGTAAAATTTTTTTTTTCTTTTTTGATTGAATTAAATTTTTCTTTTTTGGTTTAAGATAAAGTAAAACCTATTGAATTATATGAAAAAGCGAATTTTGGTACACAAATTTTATCAAATATTTGTCGTGTTCATTTTGATGAACCAACAACTATTCAACGGTATGCAATACCTTGTATTCGACAATAAGATGATTTAATGGAGGGCTGCGCAAGTATGGGTACAAAATGTACTGCCTCCAAATCTATGGATTTACACTCTCAAGCACTGTCATGTACTGTCATGTACTACCTTAAAAAGCCTAGAATTTAAAGAATTTATATCATG